TTATTTTTCTAGCATTTTTCTCATTCTCCTCTATTTTTCTTTTATTTTTATTACTCTCTTCTATTTTTTACATTCCTCTATTATCATCTACACGGGAAACAGATTGTGTCAAGATGAAGCGTAATTCCAAATCAAGTGCTAAATGCATGCTTTGCATGCAACATCACGATGTCAATGCGTTGCATGGCATTGCAATGCATGCAATTGCCAATACATACCATGCATTCGCCGCAACATCACTCGTCGGCTTCTGGACGCCACCGGTGTTGTTTTGCCGCCGGCTGTGTCTGAACAGTTACCACGCCTGCCTTTTCGGAGAGCGCTGATTCGAAACCGTCGAGCGAATGGATTCACGCCCAGCCCGTGCTGCACTAGTTCTGCGAATGGGCTATTTCTCTTTGAGTGCCACTTTGCTGTCTTCTCTTTCATCTCAAGCTTCCCTGCTCTCTACATGCAGAACAATGCCATAGACACCATTAGCTCAGACGCAGTTTGTAAGACGACATTTTTTGTGGTATTTCCAGGCAGCATCGTTTGCAAGGTCAATAGGAACTTGAAGAACAACGCTACCTGACACCCTCTATGTGTCAAGAGAACGCATTCGCCGCAGCAGCATGCTGAGCATCGGGTATATCGTTATGTTGTAGACGTTTATGGACCGCATGTTTCACACGAACGTATACATTATGACATGTATTGATGTCGTTCAGGTATAAATAACTTAATCTAAGAGCGATATGATCCGATAAGATTCGCGATGCACGCATTGATCATTTGCATTGCCAATGCCGTCTTTTCACGCACTATCTCGAAAGGCACTGTCACGTGTTGGAGTTGGCTTCGCGTGTTTTTAGAGCTATCGTCGTGCACAATCCATTATAAAGTGCCCTAAAGGCTTCTGTGTTATGCACGATGCACGATTGTTTGTGTGATTAATGAGAGCTTAATATAAAGGCGAAAGAGCGTCACAGAAAGAGGTGTGCCAATATTAATTTCAAGCCTTTCCATGCGTCTCCAGAGCATTCTTGGAAAGTCGGGGTGCCATGACACCCACAGAACCCCTTCCTTTCTACGCCTCTGCCATAATGCGACCTGAAACAAGTTGGTATGCGAAATGTCAGCCTTCTGTCGGCAGCCATATGTCAGCCACATGTCAGCCTTGTGGCAGCAGCTGAACATTTATCTAAAGAAGGGCACCTACGTCAACCCAATAAGATTGTAGCGTGGTTCTCGCCCACATGATGCTGTGGAACCTCACTTTAGTACGTTGTGCACCTTCAACGCGTGGAAAGTAAATTTTGGATATACAGGATCAAAAGTAACCTTTATTTTACGGTCAACAGATAATATCCGTACCGGAGAGCTCGACGCAGCCCATAAGGCAACGGAAGGAGCTCGAATCCCTACGCTGGTGGCGCCGCCTGCGGTCACAGGTCCTCAGCCTGTGGCGCCACCTGCACTCGTCCGGGATAGCCAGCTCTCCTCAAGCGTGAGTAGCGTATGCTACGCGGGAAGTACAAGCCTACTGTAAAAGCGCACCCCAGGCTGCTCCAGGTTGAGTCGCTGATCTCAAATTTATGCTTTTTCGGTCCATTTAATTGCAGAATCATTTTCGTCAGGAGCAGCGCCACGGATTTTGAGTCGGGGGGGGGGGGGGGGGGGGTGGCAGGATTCACAGGGGGCCTCCTGGACACAGTGGGGCCTCCTCACAGCGGGCGTCCTGGGCAGTGTCATTTCCGAGAAGGAAGGTACGGAGGGCATATGCTTCTGAATCAAACTGCTCCACGCATCATATCCGAGAAAAAACGCTGAAAATTAAAAAAAATAACTGAAAATCAGGCCCCCAACAGAATGGGGCCTACTTATGATCCAGAAAATGGCTTCAGTAAGCTAAAACAGGGCCGCCTGGTGCAAACAGGGGCCTCGTAAGACAGAAAGGAACATTTCCGACTCACGGGGGGGGATTTCCAAAAAAACAGGGCATCTTGATTCGGAACTGCAGCCCTCTGGCGTATGAAGTGGCCCCCCTGAATATAGAGGGCGCCTTCTAACCGTGGGCGGTGTCTCCTAGTTTGTAATGAGGCCTCCAAAACCGGCAAAAAGGCTTTCTTTACACATCATTGGTCCCTCTGATCTAGAGCATGGGCTACCTTGTTCATGGAGGTGGTCTCATGATCTGCAAAGCAGGCCTCTTGATGTAGGAAAGGTCTTTTGAGCCCAATTTATCGCGCTTTAGCTCAGTTATGGGGGCTTCCTTGATCTGAGTTTTGGCGATCTAGGGGTAGTTACAATACCCTTAACTAAGGAAAAAGGGGTTTCTCCACGGTTTTTTTTGGGGGGGGGGGCAAAACATACTCTTGTCCCACTGATTGCTGGGAGGTGGGTATCTATGCTGCTGTATGCTCTATCCCCTTTGCTGCACCGGCCCTGTTTTCTATATCGACAGTCCTAGAGGTCAAGAAGCGGAGTCTCACCAAGTGTCAGTGGTGCTGCTCCTTGTTGCATCCTTTTCTGGAAGGTGCTGTGACGACTTGAGCGCAATGCAGCGTTTGCAAATGCTGAGCATTACTCCGCTGTAGCTACATTCATTGTCGAAAGGTTCTGAGACGGACCTCAGCTGTTCGTATATTTGTCGGCGTGTTAAGAACAATTCCAGTTGTTATATTCGGAAGTCAGGTGTTTGGAGATCAAGAGGGACTTCGACGCCCTAAATGTAATCAACACAACTTGAACCAGAATTTTAGGTCGTTCAGAGGACAAGTCTTTTTGTGAAATGGCACTCAAATCCAGATCCTGGGTGAAATGCACTGCCCATTCCCATTAACTTAAAAAAGACTGGAAATCGATTGGCTCGAACAAGCTGTTCAGTTATTTTTTCATCTTTCCAATTTGCAATAGCCGTTTTTACCACGATAGCATGTGACTTTTGCGGACTGCTACATTTGGAAACACAAATGTTGTTATCACATGCCAAAGCTTCTAGACGCATTTTAATCCTGTGTTGAAGCAGATTTGTGTTGCGCGGTATTGTAGTTCATCGACTCTCGAAGTTTTATGTGCACTTGCTTTTCACTACGTTAAGTTACGATTGCTTACATTTTAGGTATTTTGATTTAGGCCAACACGCCGCATAAAAGCGGCATTCCTCTTGCACTATAAATATTGCAATTTACCCAACTGTTTTTTTGGCTCAATATATATATATATATATATATATATATATATATATATATATATAGTGAAACATACATCACCTTGTCATTTTATAGCCAATTATGCTGTGAATTGCGATATCGGCTTCTACCCAGCCACTATAGACAGGGATGTATATACATTCGAAAGCAAATGCTCAGACACACGCATTCAAACGTGGCTTGTGTGTAAGTTGAACACAGTGATGCTAAGTTGCCCGGTCAGCAAAAACGATAGCTTTAAGGTTTTTACGTTAAAACTACTTCAGCGAACGATATACCATTTAGACATGCTATACTTCCGAAAATGCATATTTACTATAATACCTAAAAGTGCCGATTCCATTGCGCGTGACATTCGGGGTGGATCACGGCGCAGAGCCTATTAAAAACGCCTCGGAAGCCGGCGCACGTGGTCTTCCTTGGCATGCGGCCACATGTTAGAAACGGATGTTAACAGCCTCTTGTACGCTTTTCAGCTGTACTGTTTGGTTGTAAACCATGGCGCTCATTCAGCAAGGCATGCGGCAGCAGCGGCAGCGTAGCTCCCGACTGGTGTGCTGGGGTGGTGGCTACACCGTTCTTCTGACTACCCCCCTCCCCCCGCAGCTCCCGATAGACGTGCTGGGGTGGTAGCTGCGCCCACCGTTCTCCCTACTCCCCCCCCCCCTCCACAGCTTCCGATCCCTCTCCGCAGCTCCCGACCGGCGTGCTGGGGTGGTGGCTGCACCGTTCTCCCGACTCCCTCCCCCCGCAGCTCCTGACAGGCGTGCTGGGATGGTGGCTGCACCGTTCTCCCGACTCCCCTCTCCCCGCAGCTCTTGATTGGCGTGCGGGGGCAGTGGCTGCACCGTTCTCCTGACTCCTCCCCCCCCCCCGCAGCCTCCGGCCGGCGTGCTGGGGTGATGGCTGCACCGTTCTCCCGATTCCCCCCCCCCCCGCAACCCCGACTGGCGCGCGGGGGCGGTGGCTGAATCGTTCTCCTTTTTCTCCCCCCTCCTCAGCCATGGGAGACGTGAGACCACCGACAAGCTCGTCACCCGTGATCTCGAAAGGAGGCGGAGAATAGTGCTGGGGCTCATTAGGGGATGATGGATCCCAGTCATCTATGGACGTGGAGACCCAGAAATCTTGTCCTGGCTCATGGCGCTGGTTCTTCCAGGCACACCGGGAAGTGAACAAGTTTGAAAAATCACCTTTGGATATGGCTTTGAATATGAAACATCTGCATATGTATTGAAGCCGTAAACCGAGGGGTGATTTAGCTGCAAGTTCACAACCTATGGGGAAACGCTTTAGGTACCGACATTGTACCGCCCGCGTGTTCCACAGTCGTTCGCAGGACACGGGCAGGCACTCCCCGGTCTAGTCTCGACGGACGGCTCCATTGTGCCGGCCGAAGAGCGTGGGCCGCCCCCGGACCGCACTGCCGCAGTGGTGGCGGGGGCGGCCGACTGGGCCCGGCTCCGCTGTCCCACTGGTGGCCCGGCCATCGACCGACGACCGCGCGGGGCGCGCACCCCGCTCCCAGGATCGATTTTCCGGCCGGTCGGCGGCGGTGGCGGCGGCGGCGCCGGCGGCGTGTCGGGGACGCCGTCGAGCGACCGGCCGCGGCGGTGGACTGACGAGGTAAGTAACGCCAAGCGGGCGGTGGACGGCGCTCAGCTGCGCGTGTGTCGCTGCCGTGCTGCTGGCGGGTTAGCCCGGCAGTCGTGCGCCCGGTGACATCGGCGCGCCGCCGGCCGCGAGCGGGTTCGGTGCAGCGTGCGCGCAAGCCGCGTCCAAGCCAGCGACTGGACGGTGCACACG